CAAATCTCTTCGCCGTGTACTTAACCTCTCGTATTGTGATTCTGTTGCCCAAACTTCATTATGTATTTATACCTCCAAAACTAATTCCCTTATTGTGGTTTGCTGGGAATTCCCCGTAATTTATCTCCGCAAGGCAGCGTCATGTCAATCAGAAGCCCGACAGCTGTGACGGTGCCGACCCGAGCATGACGCTGACGATTTGAGCATTTTTTTCCCTCCTGACGCGCTCTTGTTTTTCTCTCGTTTCTCATGATTATCTTCGATTTAACTATTTTCTCCTAACTGACTTCCTCAATTCGACTTACATTTTCCAAATTGTGTTCATTCAAAAAATATATATGTTTAAATCCTGTTTATTTGACTTCATCTGCTGCTGTTTACAGCTATTTAGGTGTCGCTGACACGTTAACTTTATAGTTTATTCGCGACTCCTCGTCTATTGCAGTCGAATTATTGTACGTCTGTTATTTCTTCTCTCGATTTATTTTTACTGTTTATTTGTACAATATTTCTTGCATGACGGAAATAAATATCTGAATCTGAATCTATGTCGTATATGCGATAATTGAAAACATTAGAAATACCGTATGAAGAAAATACAGCAAAATGCTAAATGACTATCGTGGATAACTTTTTCATTTCAACCTGTTTGTCACCAATGATATTATCTACCGGCCTTTCATTTACTGAATTATATCTGAGATATTACTAAACATTTACTGAGTAACTGAAGAACGGACCAACGCGCAAAAATCACATCTGAAAATCACATAGCCAGTATTCATTAAGTTACCGTTAGGTCATTGACAGAAATAGACCGAATCTAACTTCCTTGCATTTGAAATGATTCATTTTTATCTTTCAATACTTGAGTCATTTGGCATTTGTTAAATATATATACATATACAAAATCCTTGTAGTAGAACATATAAAGTCGCAATAAACTAGAAGCAAACATTCCCTTTTGAATGGTCTAGCTATATAGGAGACTTGGTTGTTTTCTTTACAGAACCGTGTTCGTGTTCGAGATACCACTATATATAACATTGCAGAGTCGGGAACAATTCACGACCAACTAAAAATCCCAGATATGATCAGTTAAAACGTTATTGGAAATAAAACTTTCAATGAACTACATTTTTCAAGATATTGAGAAACGAGCAAAATTAAGGCGTATACGTCTTTAACTTTTTTTTCTAAATATAAACTTGTATATGCGTCGGAAGTGCAACTGAACAGTTAAAAGGGTTCCATTACATTTGAACCCACGTACATTTGAACCCATGACAATTGCACCTGTATGCTATTGCACCTATGGAATTTTTTTTGTTTCACGGATAGTTAAACCCATACTAACCCTAACCCATGGGTTTTAGCACCCGCATATAGATTGAACCCGTGGATATACGCATGGGTTCAAATGTACATGGGTTCAAATGTACGGTCACCAGTTAAAAGTACTGAAAGCTAAAAGTGATTTTTTATAGTAATTTACAAATTCAATTAATATTAATAATACCAAAACTTGTCCTTGATGACAAAGAAAAAAATTGCAATGAACTATAAACCAAACAAGCCTATTCCATTTTTGCTTGGGACATAATTGCTTTCTGTACAGTAAATCGTTAGAGTTGTTACTACTATACAATATTATTAAGTTTGGAGCCATTAACGACTCAAATAGTATTTTATGTTTGCAATAGTTTAGACCGCTTCATAACTTCAGATATGATGAGATGCACTATCAACGGAAGAAAATTTATCAATGAACTACAAATCGAACGTTTTTCAATTTTTATGCGTCTAAAATAAACATATATAACTAAAATTGGCATTCGATATGCATACATGCAAGCCATGCCAGTCATGGACATGTATTCCGTGATTCTAGAAATTAAATATTTCTGTTGTTGCTAGGAACGAATTAAAAGTTTACTTCATTAGTGTTTCAATAGTTACAAACCCGCCTGAAATAAATACCAAACTCACATTTCACCGGAATTATCCTATTGGCCATAGTCCATAGTATATTATACTTTGGGTTACTCCGCAGGTAATCCAGAGTGGATAAATGAGTGAGTGAGCTCAAGTTGGGGTGAAATAATTTTATTAAATGACGATAAGGTTACCGACACTACGAAAATTAAAATCAAATCAATTTCTCGTGTTGTGACGAAATTTCGGGACCACTTCAAACTTGCGAAATACAGCATTTTGAAAAATATCAGATTCTACAAGCTATAGAGTGATTTTATTCAATAATTTGATTTTGAGCAAAACATTGATGACACGTTGATATGTGAATCAGAGGGTTCCTTAACAGCGTTTTATCCGAAAAAAATATATTACACCTCAAAAACTCACGCCTCTCATTAATCCTCTCTAAATCTTTGTAGTCAGAATCTCCTCTTCTATCAGCGAATTGAAACACCTTTATACGATTCTACACTCCACATTGGTCAGCAAACGGCAAGTATTCGGCGGTATCGTTTTTTTTTTCAACAATCAAATTATAACTCCATAAATAATGTTTCTATTCATTTTGACGTTATACTGAACCGATGGCTAGCCTGGTGAATAAAGAAGGAGAAAATGATTACAAAAGTTTAAATATCAAAAAAGTACAAACGTTTAGGACCTTTGGAATGTCAATGACAGCAAACGCGATTTAGTAACTGATATAACTGATTCTAACAATATAACACGACCATACAACTGACTCGATTTTATAGGAAAATTTGCTCAAAGCAAAGTCACCCGAAATTACTTAAAAGATCTTTGATCTAAATTTTGTTTACTTCATTAGCGTTTCAATAGTTACAAATTGCCTCAATCCAACAGCAAACTCACATTTCACTGAAATAATAATATTATCTTTTGCTCTTCTGTGAATTTGGTTTGTCTTCTCCTCTTTTCGAAAAGAAATTGTGTATATTTCTCAAATGCTCCACAGTTTATCCTGTTTGATTTGGTTTTGTGATCTAAATAGTTTAATGAAAGTCGGTCTTTTGCGCATATCGCTGATTCCCTGGAATAAAAATAAAGCATTTACTGCATTGTGTTAACTAATTATTGCGTCATGAGCAACCTATTTCTAAAACTTCTATGTGGACAAAGGAAACATAAAAGGCTTAAGCTGAAGCTCACTCGTATTTCCTGAATGTATGTAAGATTAAAGATTCTCACGCTCGAGATATACCTGCAACAAGACCGAATAACTCATAATATTTAATTAAGATAAATATCTTGACTGAAACTTTCTCGAGGTGTTGTAAAGAATTTCTACAGAATTTACATATGTAAAACAATTTATGTAGGAATTCTATTATACAGATCTTTCAAAAAAGATTGTAATATTAGAGAAATTCTACCTCGCGCAGTTTCGACAACCTCAGACTTCAGCCCACTACACGGCAAGAGTTTCAACTGCATTTAAATACCTTTATACAATTCTACATTCTACACTTGTCAGCAAATTTAGATAGACGAACAGTCAAATTAGATTCATTAAAATAGTGTTTATAATCAATATGACTTCATACTAAATTGTAAACCGGCCTGGGAAACAAAGAAGGATGAAATAAAGATGCAATATTAAATACCAAAAGGTACCAACGTTTAGGATCCACGCTATTGGCATTTTCCACAGCTGAGGATAACTTACAACATGCATAAATAATTTTAGTCACTGAAACATTGGGTTGAAAAGAAATTGGCACAAACAATGTTAATGACAGCAATCGCGATTTAGTAAGTGATAGCCTATAATTAATGCTGGCAATATAACACGTCCATAACACTGACACGTTTTCATTGGAAATTTGCTCAAAGCAAAGTCACGAGAACTTACTCAAAAGATGATCTCAAAGTTAAGCTAACGACGACCACTAATTTCATTTTACTTATTGTTGTAGCAAGTACATAAGGATAGTTACTGTGTATTTTAATATTTTCACCACTTATTGTTAGTAGTGCATGTTATTTGCCTGAAACAAGGTCGTTGTCCCATTCATTTCCTTTATGATATATTTCTCTCTCTCAGTGTAGCTTGTCTTTGCCGTTCTTTGTTAGTTAGAAATTTGGTTTCATCACATATACTTGCTTTAAGGTTTCAAGTGTAATTCGTTTTTTTGGATCAGTTCAACTGTGCAACTTTACAATATAATATATTGGCATTCAATACATTGTGTGCTTTTTGACCTCTGAAGGAGTCAAGATCGGAGTTACACTCTGTTAACGTGTGTTCAATAACACGGGAGTGTGGACACGCAGATAGGGTCGAATCTTTGTTGCCCTATATTTTGGTGATACCCGTTCGTGATCAATAAGCAATCAACTTCAATTCAGCAACTGGAATTTCGTCAATCAAAATGGAAAAGAAATTCATCACTAACCGAGTCAATGGACAATACGTCAGCATTTCAGGAATCAAGCAACCAACCAAACTGCAGTCTTTGGCGGTATGTCAATTTATTAAGCAGTCAAGAAGGCCAGAACAAGGTAGATTTTTGACTCAAAACGAGGAATCTGGACCAGGACCTCCTACGATTAGACAGCACTAACTCAACTTCAACTCTTCCAAGTTTAACGCCCGAGTTCACGCTCGTGTATTTTCATTTTCCAAGCATCAACGCCCAAATTCTTTGAATTTGTGTCTCATATCAACCGATATTTTACAACTATATGTTTTGTGTGTCAACCGGATCAAGAGATATGGACTTCAGCAGATCAATCCGCCTCATTACAATTTAAAGTTACCAGGACAACTTCGTATTATTACTGGATTTTCAAATGTGTTATCGACAAAGCAAGCTACGCAGAAAATAATATGATGATATATATACCCAAGCCGATTTCTTACTCCAAGCAGCAGTATTTATACGACCTATTGTTTGGCGGAAGTTTGCAAAACATCTACTTTATTTCTCTCAAGTCGATCACCATCTATTTCTCTATTTCAACATCACTGGAAACCAAGTCGAACCCAAATACTCGTGGCCCGCGTGGAAGGGTCCTCTCTACTTCAATCACATAACACGAAAACTTCACTCTCCCCTAGCTGATTTAAGCCAATGCTCACCCAATTCCGGGTTTTGCCGGAAAGGTGCGTTTACATTTGTCTGGAACGTTGATGATACGAAAGTTGCACGGCCGTCGACTCTCCGAAATTCAACGCTACCACACTCTTGTTACATTTCAATTCATCGGACAATCTTCCCAGATTGAAAAATCCGAGAGTTGGACAGGTTTTCAAAGCTTAGAGGAATGTTTTCAACGAACGAAATCTTAACGTCAACAATATTCTTCAAATCAACTATTACGCTCATTATTTTACAAAACAGAAAGAAGTCGATTGTCCAAACGCAATGGCTTAGTTCTGGGTGTTATCGAAGATTTCGTGAAAATCTGTAGATTTCACCGCAAAAGATCCTTCAACCGGAGGTATCTCAATCAAATTGGTTTTCCTGTGTCGTTGCATTAGTTGGTCATCAGCGACTTTGATGCAGAATTAAATACACCAATACATGACAAATTTTACGACATATTATTCAATCAGATATCGTTATTAGCTAGTCTTACAAAATTTAAAAATTAGCAAACTAATTTTTTTCATTGTCGGGGGGAATTGTGTAGCAAGTACATAAGGATAGTTACTGTGTATTTTAATATTTTCACCACTTATTGTTAGTAGTGCATGTTATTTCCTGAAACAAGGTCGTTGTCCCAATTCATTTCCTTTATGATATATTTTTCTCGCTCAGTGTAGCTTGTCTTTGCCGTTCTTTGTTAGTTAGAAATTTGGTTTCATCACATATACTTGCTTTAAGGTTTCAAGTGTAATTCGTTATTTGGATCAATTCGATTGTGCAACTTTACAATATATATTGGCATTCAATACATTGTGTGCTTTTTGACCTCTGAAGGAGTCAAGATCGGAGTTACACTCTGTTAACGTGTGTTCAATAACACGGGAGTGTGGACACGCAGATAGGGTCGAATCTTTGTTGCCCTATATTGTCATCATCCAGAATTATAAATGGAATAAGTTTCCAGGTAGATCGCCTTGAGACAAAAGTTGATAGGAAAATATATCAAAGCACTTTAGAGTTGAGTATATGCGATAATATCGCAAAATTGCTGGCAAGCAGGTCGAAACATTAGAAATACTGTATGAAGAAAATGCAGCGAAAATGCTAAATGATAGGACCTTTCCCAGACATCCGTAATCCGTAATCAAAACATCCGTATTCGCAACTAATCATAAGCGGGCAGATGTAAACAAACATTCTTCGCTGAAAAGTCGCTCAGACAACTTCAGACGCGTTCCGCACAGGTTGCCGGCGTTTTAGATAGATCTTTGTCCCTTTTTTTCGCTTTTTGTTTTCTTCACAGGGCTGCGAGAATTAGAAAGCTGTAATACTGTACCGGTATGTTACTTGTAGCAAATCACGTTCACGAAATCTATATATCTATACTCAAAGGCTGTACCCGTTGCAGTCACCTTACAGGTACCGTACACATCAACCAACTGCTATTCCCAACTAAAAATAGTAGACAGTCATGCTGATGCAATCAAGGGTACCGGTAGCCTACCGTATGTCAGTACGGAAGAATTCGCCTTCGATACGATGTTGCATTTTTATCAAACAGAATCTATTAGTGAATCTTTTTGGTAGACTAACTATGTCTATGTGTAAACGCTGCGCATACGCTACAGCCTACCGGTATGGTATTTGCCGGTCTGACAACCTGTACGGTACCCCAACCGTTCAAATGGAGTAAGATTTGTGCCTTTTTCGAAGCCACATATTGATAGGGTGGATAAAAGAATGCAACAGGCCTCACAGTCGATTCAATCTAGGAAAAATCACCTGAAATACCTATGTGTGTATCGAGGTAGGCCAACATAAATATTGTTTTCGATACCTACCGGTATGACTGTATGATATATTCAATATGATAATTCTCATATGAAATAAATTTTCATACAAGCAATGCGTTCCATCATGCATTTTCATGGAGGCGATGAACCAACTGATGAATACCCTGACCCTATATCACATTCTTGTCGCCCAACAAAAAAGCACCATCAAATTGTGAGGTAAGGATTACTTATGCCATAATTTAACTTTGAATCCGAATTTAACAGGATCTGTCACCGGATACTTCATTTGATACAGAGACATGCGAAGTGAGAAAGGATTATCAGGGATCCAACCAGATCTGCCCCCAGACTCTTTAGTTGAAACTACCTCAAGTGCTTCTGATAAAAATGACAGCGCTTTGTCAGACAGCAGAAAAATGTAAGCAAGCATCATCATCATTTTATTATGGTTCTCTGGCATAAAACAACACAAAAAGTCAACCTACAAACAAAATGCAGAGAAAACTGGAAGTCGAGCATAACTTAAATAGATTTCAAAAAGTACGCGGCTACCTACTAGAAAAAGAAATAATAATGATAAAAGGGCACGAGAAAATTAACAAGATTTAGAATCGGGCAACCCTTTTAACGTAATTCAATATGAGAAAACACATACTTCTTCCAGCATTGGTGTCACATTTGCTAACTGTGAAAATGATGAATAAAGAAGGAAAATTAATATTGAAGACTTCATGCAGAATATTTTACAATCCAATGGTGATAAAATGATGTTACTTTATGGAGGAAGCTTCGCATGCATGCATGTGTTGGGTATTTAATTCATACAGTGTAAACATATTTTTTTTCTTGAGCAGGGTTATAGTTATTCAGTTACATTTAAATGTACTGCCACATCTTCTTATGCCCTTTCTGCAGAGTGCACATTTATTTTTATCTTGTTTGTAAGATCACTTTATATGGTGCTTTTTAGGTAGCGTGACATGCACATTTCTATTTTTTAAATCGCCATGCCAACGTGACAGTGTCAGATTATCTATCTCCATTCATTGCGCGAGAATTTTTTCTTGATATTTTTTTTTTTGAGCACTGTTATAGTTTCTACATTTAAATGTAACTGAATAACTATAACCGTGTACAAGAAAGAAAATATGTTTACACTGTATGAATTAAATACCCAAGTAACCCAACACAATGTGTTGTGCGATTTTCAATTTTTTTTATAAATAATCATATTTGCTATGCCGATTTTATGCCTTTGTATCCCCACAACTAATCGATCAATTAACGAAAAACTAATGATCCTCTGCTGCCCACTGACGGCTTGTTGGAAAGCTTATTTAAAAACTCCTTTGTACAAACAGTTGGGCATACTCCACCATTACCCATGTTGCCTAATCCACCCTCCTCGCACAACTGTCTGTATGAAGGACCATATTATACTTATTTGATTTATTGCATTTTATGCTTATCATAAGGGGTGTATGCCGCACGTTCATGTGTTTTAGGCCAGTCTGGTCTTGTGTATACATACATACATACATGTCCGGTGTGACCATGGTGATTGCAATATCATTTTTTGTGCGGACTGCAAAGTCACACCAAGCTGCTCCTGCAACCTTATCCCTGCACTTGGTAGTAACTGTGGTGTGTGATAAATATCCTTATTTTGTTAGGATGTTTTGCATTTATCACTGTCATATAAATTACAACTTGTTCATAATCACCTGATAACTTTAGAACCGAACCAAGTGGTGGGTGTTTGCCCATCTGACTATATAACAATGAGGTAGTGCTCAGTGAGAGCAATTCTTCCATATTATCAGGAGATGAAACCAGGCAGCTTTAACAAAATAACTCAGCAGTAAAATCATTGTAAGACATTATGTCTGTGAATGGAATTGTTAATGAATTTAATTCTATTATTTCGACGTTTCATTGCTTTCATGGTTCTTGTTTGTTGTGCCTAAAAGCATATATCTGGTGTGTATTTTTATCCTATGCAACACAATATCTGGAAAACTGTATAATTTGTAGTAATTTTCTTGGATTTACTTGCTTGTTCCTTCATCATATATTTTTTATAATCTGTTATATTCTATTTCTACACTGAATGAATAAACTATATTGTAAAACCTATCAGATACCCGACTGTTTTTGGTTGAACCGGTATGATTGGAACTCTGGCTCGATCTAACTTTGTGGGCTTAGCACCAACTACAGACGACAAAACTGTTGGATCTATTTTGTTCTCTCCATATAGCTTGTTACCAATGCTGGGAAAGGTTTGTACATGCTTGGCTCGGCCGAAAATCTTTTATTCCCCTCAATGTTGGATAGTCTTGGTTGGTCCAATGATACAGCAACAAGCACTAGTAGTTCTGATGAATAGGTAACAATTTTTAAACCATGTTTATCACTATAACATCATTGGTCTTGTAATTTTATGTGATATGTAATCGATCATAATACCTCAACAAACCTGTTGAATCTAATCTTTCAATAGTATATTTGCACCCATCTTACTGAGCTAATAAATCTGTAAGTGCTCTCACCGTGCCTAGCATGTACAAATTGCATCAGAGACTTGGTGACTATCCAGCGACACCACTATTTGAAGATGATGTGGTGGCAGAGACTCCTGAACTTATCTATAGCACTTGGCTTTGAAATCTAGCGTTGAACCAAGATTGACGACTGAACCATCATGGATGTATCTGAAAAAATATTCATCTGTTCATAATTACAGATTGCTGTAGTTTGTGCAATGTTTCCAAGAATGTATTTAAGAGACTTCTCGAACTGCCCCTGCATTTCATTTGTTTCTATACTAGGATAGGATAGGATTTACATATTTATCCCGGGGGAGAGGAAAGCCGATAAGACGGCTTATCCATATGGCAAACCACGGCCTCTCGTCCAGTTACCATTCCAAGTCTGGTATGGGATTAGTTATATTGTTTGTTTTCGGAAGCATGGACTTGGTGGTGGAGGAAGCCGTAACCGACCAGCGGTTAGGTGAACCACCCAACGACGGCGAGGAGTCCAGCAATCCTCTCGCACATAACCATCCCTGCATGGGATTCGAACCTGCGAACCCATCGAAGGGCCACGAGTTGGACGACCCTGGTCTACAACACCAATTGAATCTAATATTTTTCTGCTAAAACCTCAGCATAACAACAAACAAGACTTAAATTATAGAACCCTCATCCTACTTAGAGTGGAAACAGATGAAATGAACACACTTCAGCTGAAAACCTATCCCTGGCAAGTTCCGGGCCACAGGCTTCTACATATTTAACATTTTATTATTTTGAAAATTTGTATTGCGAAAATAACCAATATTCATTTGTTCAAATGACTGCTAAAATGTACTGACATTCAAGAAATTGAAAAAATCAATTCGGAAGAGGTGCTAAATTTTATTCTGGCTCTACAGCTTTGAGACAGGAATGTGTCAACGTAATGCACACAGACACAGGTGCAATCATAGTTGTTGCTTTCGTTGCTATTTAAGTTAATTTATTTCTTCTGCGAAAGACTCGCCAAGTGACGAAAAATCAACATAACTACGTTTGCTTCAAATGTTTTAGCATGCAAGAATTATTTGTTTGTTAGGCTTAAGTTAACCGGGTTCCACATATTTGTTGGACACGAAGGCGTAGAATAAAGCACTGCTGCACACTGCCTTGACTTGACAACACTTTTACTATAATCCTATCCATAACAGTTGTTTCTCTTCATGACCTGAACAATATAAATAAAAATACAGGGTTAAAGATAGTATATTGATGAAGTGCGCTAGATATTAAAGAAGCAAACTCGACCTAGGCAATGACTAAAACCGAATAATTTATATTCGAATATGTACAGATTTTTTTGTATTCTGAAATGCTATTTTTGAATTACATAAAATCCAATGTATATTTAATTATATGAATTTGGAAAAGTAAAACAGTAGAGTATTTATAGTTTTCAGATATTAAATGAAGGCTCTTTTGTCTTCGATTGTGATTGCATGTCGAAAAACTTTGCTCTACTCTAAAATCATGTGACACTAGTTTTGCCTGCATGTAACAAGAAATGACTAATGGGAATGATTTTGAAAAGTTTGTCACATCTCGGTTACTTGAACAGATCTGTGACAATACCAATAAGAAATTTACCTTGAGCATTTGGTTGATAAAGTATCCTCATATTATACGAATAATACAGATTATACACACAAACTAAAAATAATTTTCATTTAACAGCTGATACTAAAGAGGCTCTTATTTTTACTGAAAATTGCGAACATAAATTTAGGACAGTTCACATACAAATAATATGGCATTTAAATAGTGACAAACTCACAAATTTGCTCCTCCAATAGAGCTGATAAAATTGATCATCATCATGGCACTCAGACAGTTTACTTGACTTGAAACAGCTGTAGAAATAAATGAAAAATCAGAAAACAATGTTACATTAAAGAAATAGTTATGATAGCATGAACCATTGCATTCATGATAAGTTATTGGCAATATATAGTTATCAATATACTCATTCCTGCATTCTAGCATTTGGTGAAATTCATGGGCATGGTACCACAATATTCTAGTTTCATTTTATATAGCAAGAGTCAGAATCATTAATACCATAAATATCGTACATCTGTGCATACAGCATACCTATAACATGCAATATGATTTTACATTGGTGTATATCAAAATATCCAGCCAACCTTCTGCTATCTATTCGCTCCTTGTCTATTTTTTTGATCCAACTTCGGGACCTTGCAGACTTGTGAATTAGCCGATCGTAGGTAAATCTCAGTTCTGCTCATACACAAAATATAACTAAAAGGAAACTTTTGGGCACAGGTAGATTCAAATATCTGAAAATATATTATTTTTGTTAAAACATTTTGAAGTTTATATTACTGTATTAGGACTAGGAGTATCTGTTCGACGGTACTACTGCGCAACTGCTTATTCATACATACATATCATTATCAACAAAACTATACTAAAATACTGGGCCCTATGTCTGTTTATGACAAGAACCCTTATAGCAATAGACTACTGGTACAACTGTAGTCTACATTTAAGTCGAGATTTACGTCACAGAAAGTTAAACCACCTTTTTGATCCGGACTTAAACCGCCGATCCAAAGTTAAACTCCGATTCGAGGTTAAACTACATACCGGTAGGCTTTTCGCCGCTTTTGGAACTAAGTCAGGTACGGTAACGGCAATGTGAAGGCGGAATAACGTTAATAATAGATCACTTGACAATATGGTATAACTTTAGAAGCACGAAAATACCGCCATCACTAGTGAAATGCCATCTGAAGGCCTTCAAAACGAGCAACGCACCGTACCAGTCTATCGCCCTACACAAGTCTGAATATTTGCAATGTTTGTCTGAGCGACCAAAAACAATAAAGGTCAAAGGTCGGGGAAAGGTCCATAGAGGATAACTTTCATTTATTCCAACCTATTTCTTACCAATGAGATTATGTACGGACCTTCATTTACTAATTTTTATCTGAGATATGACTTAAAATTATTGGCTGAAAAACGGGACAAAGACCCAACAAATACTGAAAAAAATCTGAAAATCACATAGCCAGTATTTATTAAGTTACTGTTAGGGCCCATTCACACCAACGCAGTGCGTTGCGTTATATTTTGACGCAGATGCAACGCAATGCGCTGAACTTGTTCACACTGCGTTGCGTTGACGCATGTCAAAAGGTCATATTCCGGGTGCCCGTATTTTGGATCAGGAACTTGATAGGCATTGTGTTTAAGAGCAGAGTAGGTAAGACAGCTGTTGTTTGGATATAAATTTGAGACGTTTTGGCGATTGTATAATGCCGTTGTATATCAATGATAGTTATTATTTTCAAAACAATGAAAAATGTACAATGATTTTTATACAGATTGATTAGATATCGGTATGGCAGGTATGGACTTAGAACATCTCATAGTTGAGGTCAGAGAAAGGAAGTGTCTTTACGCTGTAAAAGAAGCAGCCTACAGGGATACAATTAAAAAGGGAAAGGCGTGGGAAGAGGTCGCAGAGGCGTTGGGAAGAAGTGGTAAGAAAATGAGTATGAGCCTAGAATAGTTATCTGTTACTATATTGCATCTAAAACCAATTAGGAAGAAATTAAGTAAATGCAAGATAACAGAATAAACTTCAAAGTTAATTGCTTTTCAGTGACAGATTGTAAGACCAGATGGAGATCTACAAAGGATAGGTATAGGAAAGAGAAAAGAAGGGAATCAGAGGCTACGAGGAGTGGGGCAGCAGCAGGGGGATATAGAGCATGGAAGTTCATGGAGGTGCTAAAGTTCCTAGACGAGCACGTCGACTTTCGAACGTAAGTATTATTTGCTTTCGTAACAAACGCAATAATATTTCTAATCCCTACCCCACAGTATCAACGGTCGCAAATGACTGACTGACTACTCCAGATCTCGGAACCCCAAACTATGACCATGTAACTTACTCTTTTCCAAAGAACGTCTTCAAATATTGACGAGGATGTCACTCTTGTGGTGCTCCAAGATGGAAATAATGTCCAAATGAGTGGTGAAGCTGACAACTTACCTAATATGAACACCAGTTGCACTACATCAGCATCTGATAAAGATGCACTTACAAAAGCGACTGATCTTGACGAAACTATCATGAGTCTTGTCAACAAAGGTATTTAATTCTAAAACCTTTTCATGAGGCATATTTGTGTCACACAAATGATTTCCAATCTAATAATCATACCTTTATTTACATACAGAGAGTGATGATGCTGAAAAATTTGCATTGAGCCTCGTAGATACTCTACGCAGGCTACCAGTACAACGTTTGCAACTTGCGAAAATTAAAATTCACGAGCTTCTGTACAACATCGAATTTGGGGAAATATAATTTACTTGGAACACATTGTTTTCAATTATTGATTATATGGTAATCCTGAAGTATGTGAACGAAGATGGCAGACACCGAACTTAGTATGTCTACCAGGTTAGGTTTAGGCAAAATTTTCAGGTACAAATACTAAGGGAGTCGCTTGTCTAGTCCCCGAACTAAATAAGGAAAATTGGAATAAATTATGGCCTAAACCTAACCTGGTAAACATACCAGGTTCAGGTGTCCATCTTGGTTCACATCCTTAGGGAGTACCAAATATACTAGCATATCAGATTTGTAATACCTCTGCAGTTCAGTAATCATCTATAAAATTGTTAAAAGATCAGCAATGGTGCCATTGCCAGGGCACAGCACCTTCCCCTGCAAAGTAGTTGGCAAAGGTGTTGCGAACAGATTGTGCGCTCTGTGTTGCACGGCCACCACTCCCGCGGCCACCACTCCCGGGTATGTCATGCAGCAGTTGAGTGGACACTGTAATATTATCGTCAACTGGTGCAGCCCCAGCAACATCTCTTCTCAAAAAATTGTGTAGGCAGCATGTTGCCTTTATGACAGAGTCGATATTGCTGGGCTTCAATGGTATTGGTCTGTGATAGACTCTCCACTGATTAGCTAAGATGCCAAATGTGCTCTCTACCATTCTTCTTGCCCGCGATAGGCGATAATTAAAGATTCTTTTCTCCTGCGAGAGACCATTGCCAGGAAATGGTCTCATCAGATTTTCTTTCAAGGGAAAGGCTTCATCCCCAATGAATACGAACGGAACAGTAGGTCCATCCGTTACTGGCAATGGCCTGAAAATAAATTTGCCCTATTTAGCCAGAAATACAAAATGAGGTTTAGGTAGGAGGTTTTTCTGCATAAACATGCTTCATTTTTATGGGTTATTACTAAGTTGTTAAAATAATAAGCCTTTATTACTTAGGTGTAAAGAAAAATCATAGCCTGTTTCGTTATAGAAAAAAACATCAGCAGTCATTTTCAAGTCTAGGTGGACTACTAGCTTAACCCACCTTGGTGAGGGTAGACTCAAGGTTCCATTCTGCAGGCGACGGCCAAAACATGAGTTCGCAAATATTCCCCCATCACTTGCTCTGCCATAGGCGCCAATGTCCACCGCAAGAAATTTATAACTGAAAATATGAATTTCATTGAATTCTTGATGGCACTGTTTGGAATAAATGCCCATGTATAATCCACATAATATTGGGAAATAATTGGTTTCTAATTTATTTAGCCATTCATAGAAAGCAACCACAAGTGGTAAGTTACAAAAATTGTTTACCTATGAATACAAATTAGTGTGATACAAAATCAGGTTTAATATTTACCATGCATCAACGATAGCCAGGAGCACAATGCTATGCGTTTTTTTGTAATTGTAATACAACGATCCAGCATTGCTAGGACATTTAACAACAACATGCTTTTCATCAATAGCGCCCAAACAGTTTGGAAATTGCCATTTTTTGTGAAAAACATCGGCAACCTCAGTCCATTCGGAACAACTTGATGGGCATTTGAGGAAATCCCCTCTCAATGCATCCCATATTGCAGAACATGTTTCTGAGACAATGTTGCTCACAGTTGATATGCCAAGACGATAGCTGTTAGCTATAGTTCTATAGCTATCGCCAGTAGCTAAGAATCTGAAAAAATGAAAGATAAAGTAAAGCAATTGACACATTATGTAATAATAAATAACAAAATATGCTCATTTGTGAATGAATTTATAAATAATAGTCTATCATAAAATGGAAACATATTTTTATATGCGGCCAATGGCAAACACGAGTGCACATTATTATCAGATACAAGCTGATTACTGTGATGTTTATCCCTGGATATACAAATGTTTGTATTTGCTATCTGAATAAGTGTTTCTTAACCTGTTATATCATAGACATAAACTTCTGAATAGCTCATCCATATTTTTGGTTTCACAAAGTGATATAATGAACCGCTTTTGCTAACTTATCAGCTAATGTACCTCAATGTTACTGCAATTCTCTCTTCTGGTGGTATCGGCTTCCTGAATGCTGTAGCTTGTTTACTTATAACAGGCCCAACTAAAGTTATTAAAATTTGAAAGTCTTCGACTGACATGCGGAGGTAGGTCTCAAAATAGCTTCTCCTCTCCAATCTCATCTCTTTCAAAAGCCTGTGGTACTCGCCTGTTAACGTTACAATATTCAGATATTACCCGTTAAGGTACCGGTAATCATTCAATATGATATATATTTTCAAACCTCTCAAATACTACTTTTTGCACTGAAATGAGCTGTAGACTATCAGTAGAGGGTACCGGTACCGTAATACTACAGTACTATGATAAGCACTGTCAGAACACCTTTCAGCTTTTTAACTACTGAACTAGATCAAATACCTGAATACTGGAATATGGCACCGGTCTAAAGGGCTAGTATGGTATGTTAACTGTTAAATCTAGAACCATGTAAGTAGCAAATTCTGTTTATTACAAACGGCTAGAAATACGGTGCAGTCGTATACGTACCGTACCCAGGTACGGTACCGGTACCGTACTGGGGTACGGTAGGCCTACCTACTGCTGTACTGTGAAAATACTGCAATACTGGTACCGTACCTCTAGTCTCTCTTCTCTGCAAAATAGGATGCACCCACCACCTTCTTCTTTTGCATCTATTTTTTTTATCCTTGCGTCTTTTCAGCCACAACAGTAATCCCAATTTTTGATGTTTGCTCAAAGCCATCGCCAAACCACAGAACAAAGCACCGGAACTCAACTCAAATCTCAGACAACGCAGCGCGTCAACGCAAAGGAATGTTTCCTCGAGAATTCGTTGCGTTGACGCAGTGCGCCAAAATGATGCGTTAACGCAACAACGCAAGTTTACTTAAACAATTAAAGAATAACGCACTGGTGTGAACAGATGTGAATGGGCCCTTAGGTTATTGACAGAAATAGACCGTTTCTAAACTCTTTGTATTGAAATGATTCATTTTTTTAATACTTAATACGCGTTCGCAGAACCCCGATCGTGTTAAAAATTTGATGAAAAAAATTTGCAATGGAATAAGAATCGAACATTAATATATCATTTCTTTTTAATGTGAATAAGAAGATTCTTTAAACAGGGTTATTGTCGAAAATATCGTATGTCTCAAAAACTTACGTATGTCCTTATTCTTCTTCAAATCTTTGTAGTCAGAATCTCCTCTTCCATCAATGAATTTAAACACCGTTATACAAATCTACATTCTACGTTGGTCAGCATACATACATAGACGAGCAGGGAATCGCCTGTATCGGTTTTTATCTGCAATCAAATTATAAGTCATTAAAACAGTGTTTATATTCATTATGACGTCATATTGGACCGGCCTGGTAAACAAGGAATATACAGTAGTGATGAAAATTTAAAAACCAAAAAAGTACCAACGTATAGCACCTACGCTTTTAACATTTTTCACAGCTGATGATGACTTGAAACATGCGTAAATAAATTCTGTCACTGAACCATTGGGTTGAAAGGAAATTGGCACAAAGAATGTCAATAACAGCAATTGCGATTTAGTAAGTGATAGCCTATAATTAATGCTGATAATATAAAACGAACATAACACTGAAACGTTCCTATGGGAAATTTGCTCAAAGTCACGAAAACTCAAAGTGAAGCTACCGACGACTACTAATATATCAAGAGATACTGACACTATGTATAGAGTTGAATAATGGTAATGCGAGTTAGTAAATATCAACTGACGCGAAGCTTGGAGCAGTTCGTGTTAATTTGATTAAGAAACAAGAGAGCTATGCTCAAATATATGGACACGTAGCGCCACCCAGTGGGAATAATTTCGATGACGTCATAGCGAAAAAAAAAAGTGATAGCCTTCTGGAGAAAAATTTTATCTTCAACCACTGAAAATTTCAAAGCAATTGGTCCAGTATTCGAAGAGAAAAGCGATTTCTTCAAAACGTGTCAAAGAACAAGGACACTAAGCATAACAATAAGAACAACAACAACATAATATTGAAACGATCGCTATGTCCACTACGTGTCCAATAACTATGAGGTATTGAATTTCAAATACCGGTAGCTGAATCTCGTGGACGAAAATCTCGAAGCATAGAATATTTTGCCTGATATTTCACTGACTGTGAACGGGTCAGAATTCAAAGTAAACCGACCTTGACGGCTAAAATTGTTAGACTTCCCAATGCATACCGCGAATCTATGGTTGTGACCATTTCTGCTTACTTATTGTCACCATCAAGAATTAACACTGAAGATGAGAAGAATAAACCTTCAGGTAGATCGACTTGAAGAAGAGTTGTAGGAAGAAAAAAAAAACACTTTAGAGTTAAGGTGTATGTCGTATATGCGATAATATCGAAAAATTGCTGGCAAGCAGGTCGAAACATTAGAAATACGGTATGAAGAAAATGCATCGAAAATGCTAAATGACTATCGCGGATAACTTTTTTTTATTTTAACTTATTTTTTACCAATGAGAATATGTACCGACCTTTCATTTACTAAACTTTATCTGAGATATGACTTAAAATTAGTAGCTGAAAAACGGGCCAACGCGCCAACAATACTGAGAAAAATTTGAAAATCACATAGCCAGTATTGATTAAGTTACTGTTAGGTTATTGACAGAAATAGACCGTTTCTAAACTACTTGCATTCGAAATGATTCATTTTTTCAATACTTGAGATCATTTGGCGTTTTTTAAAAACATATAAATGCATAAAATCGCGTTCGAAGCACCCCGTTTGTATTAAAAAATTGATGAAACAAAATTTGCAATAGAATAAGAATCGAACATTTTTCTTCAATATCAAGAAACGAGTATAATTATAGTATTATTAAAGCGTATTAGTGTTTCACTATGTTTCTTGATATAAACTTTTATGTGCGTCGGTAGGTCAACTGAACAGATAAAAGTACTGAAAGCTGAAAGTGATTTTTTGCAATCGCTGAAGACTTGAGCACACCGCACGACACGATTTTCAACTGCGTTTTGCAGGTTCAGGAATTGCTCACAGTCATCAGTTGCGGTCACGTTTAGTCGTAGATGCGCCTGTAGTAAAATATTTCTCCGAACCCGGACATGCAAATGAGAAATAGAAGATGACACGCAATATGAGCAGAGTTCAAAATCGTACTCCACAAAAGATTGTTCCAAATGTTTTCGGAGTCTCTAGTAAAGTCTGTCTGGTTTTTATTTAACCTTCACAGAGGAAAGTATTACTCAGGGCACCTTAGCCCCTGATTCAAAAACAAAGAAGCCCAACGTGGAGTAACTTTTCTGTGAAACGTTTGGATCTGTTTTACAAATCCTGCAGCTCGGATGCATTGTCACTGTCTGTCTGTCTAGCTTAATATTCATTGTTAGTTACTGTCTTCGGAGACGTTTCTGATGTTTAGTATTGGTTTTAGTATTTTAATTTTGCAGTCAGAAATACCAGTTTGGATTGAAGTTAGAATCGGGGTTGAATGCGAGGTGCCCGATTGTGGATAAAATATAATTTTTGACTGCAGGATATGGCTGTATTATAGTTATACTAAGTAAATAACAGCTGCTTTCATATTTTAGCCATGCAAGTTACATTTAGTTCATTTTGGATTAAACTTTATTGGATAGTGTCACCTAGGGATCTAAAACATGGGGTATGTATCTAATCAGTCTCAAATAAAGTAATCTATATATAATTTTATGCATTTAGTTATCTGCTGATATTTGTAAATTTTAATTGCCACTGTACACCACTGTAAGATTTGTTTAGATATCCGCATGTTATATTCGGTTTGTTCATTGTTTTCCGTAGGTTTCATTCGAAATGTCGATGTTCCTGATTTTGTTTCAAGTACCATCGTATTAATTGTTATGAAGTTGGATTCAATTGCGGCAAAACTTTGAGGCACAGAAAGCGAGATGGGCACTTTATCGCTGTGAGTCGAGTTGCTTGAAAGCTGAATATAGTTGACAATAAATCGATTTGGCTGGGACAGGGCATGGGGCACGTTGACAATGGTCTCCATTCACGTAAGCCAGGAAAGCAGAAGGTTAACTCATTCCTACATATACGTGTGTTTAGGCTTGCACGTAATTGACAAAAATCAATTCCGTAATTACGTCAAAATTGATTACGTAATGACCCCGTAATTGCGATATTTTTTCACACATTTAAAAACCTATCATAACAACCATTTGAATCCACTTCTTTTCCGAATGGGACATCGAAGTTCGATTTTCATATTCCTGGCAGTACTACTCGCCGGCGAAATATGTTAAAGACAAATATCAAAGAGTATATTCAAATTAATTTTATTTTGATTTTTAACTTTTGTGTTAGCTTTGATTTTCCTTTATCGCCTTCGCAAATTAACCGTCCCAATTTTATGCGATCAATTTTGTCATTACCGACACTGGTATACGGATATTTATGAAACGATAGTTGACTTTTTTTTTAAATCGAGTTTCGTATTAAATGAAAATTTCGGAATTCCAATTTATTAGATCTACGACGAGCGTATTCTCTCGTTTGATTATAATTGCGCTTGCCTCGCGACGAAGACTTCTCATTGCACCGTTTTTTACATTATCCCACTTCACCACCTAGTTAGCATTTTATAATAATTATTGATGCCGACTTATTGACGATATTCCGATTACCATGCCTCATTTTACATTAAATCATTCCGCGTCCTAAATGTTATAACATTATTTGCGATAAATTTGTATCAAATATTAATTATTTGCGCATAATTTAAATGCCGTACTTATATGACATGCCTTTACCGAAAATACAAAGTTATATCGCAAAACAATGCATTTTGTGACATTTATTTTGCACTAACGAAAAAATTAACTCGTTTTTCTAACTCAAATCGACGATGCTATCGCCCAAAATTGACACAAGTTTGGTTGAGTGGCGGTGGTATTCGAGTCCGCGATAAATAAAAATAAGTTGCCGCATTTGGTAAAGACAGTTAATCACATTTGGCCGAAAATGCGAGGCATTGTGAAAAACATATTGAGCAAGGCCAAGTCCGGACAGAAATATAACGATAAAACCTGTAACAGAACATCAAGATTTCGTAATAGAAAA